GGGGGGAGAAGGGAGGGGGATCTTATCAAGAACAGATGAGGAGAAAAACATGAACAACAACCACCACTGTGTGAAGTCATCCTCTGACGTCAACATGGGGGGGGGGTCAGCCCCCACTTGAAGACTGATCCAGATGTTTGAACATGACGTGAGTGCAGTTCCAACAATGTCCAGGTGAAAACCTGTCCAGAGAGTGAAGTTCGTTTTTCTGTTCGTTCTCCGGTCAAAAGAATCTGAACGCGTTTCAACAGATCTTCTGGGACCGTGTTGACCAATCACATCACAGGAGGGAAAAACCAACAACAGCCGCGAGGGATGACGCAACTGTGGAACGCGAAGAAACGGGGACATTTTCCTTCAGCGGGGGCCGCGTTTATGCCCGCATGTTTGCACGCGCGTGAGTGAGTGAGTGCGTCTGTGTGCGCGCGTGTGTGTGTGTGTCACGCACTCACCTCGTCCTCCGGCGGAAGAAGCCGATCAACAGCGTCAGGAGGCTGAGCAGGAGGAGCAGGAGGAGCAGCGTCGCGGACATGTCCGTTTGTGAGACTGAGAGGAAAAAAAAAACTCCGACTTTTATATGAACGCACCAGGACACGCCCACCAGCTGATTAACTTTCATGAGGTTGATGACGGTCCGCCCTGACGTCATCGGCAGAAATGATCTGCATCATTAATTCTGGAATTTAAAAGTTTGACTTTTGGAGCCAAAAAACTGGATTCTGTTTTCAAATGACTGACAAACTGGACACTGCAGACTGTGACTGTCCTGAGTGGACAAAGACAATCAGACCAAATATGGGCGTACAACTTCTCAGAGTTTTATTGTCAGAACCTTTCAGACAAAATAAAAGTCCAGTAGGGGTCATGACCTTTGACCCAAATCTAATTCAATCCTTCACCAGGAGCTGCTCCCTGGTCAATGTCCAGAACCACAGTTCCACCTGCTGACGCGGTGGGCGGGGTCACCAGTAGAAAGAGCGAGACAGGAAGTTTGCGGTGGCACCGAGCCAGCCGGGCCCGTCCAGACCCGAGCCCACCTGACTGACGGCCTTGTCCGGCTCCTGGGACGGACTCTCGTCCTCAGGGAGGTAGTCCGGCAGCTCCGGGTTCTGCTCCAGCTTCACGGAACCATCCTCGGCGATCGGTACCAGCACCTGCAGACGGACAGAACAGGTGGAGCCGGTTCACACCTCCAGACGAGCGGAGGCGGAGCCACATCCACAGTGGTCACATGGTCACACCATCTGACCGACGGACACTGACCTCCTCACCAGCAGACGTCTTCACCACCTGCTGAGCCTTCATCACCTGGGTGGAGGAGATGGCTGCTGCCAGGACCTACACACACACACACACACACACACACACACACACACAGAGCGTAACTGTTTTCCTGATCATGTGACCAGACGCTGGCGAGGATGACCTGCAGTGACCTCACCTCCACCTTCAGGTCAGAGCGAATCCTGATGATGCATCTCCTTAAGGCCATCTGGAAGGTGAAGCTGATGACCCCTCTGACCTTCAGCAGAGCGTCCTCACACACACACCTGCGGCTCTGCACACACACACACACACACACACACACATTTGTCCTCTCTGAACTTCATCCACCGCCGCCTCCATCACTGAGTTCTAATCAGTTATTTTCGACTTCACTGTTTGAAACCTTTTGTTCAGATTTGCCTCTGTGACACGCAGCGACCACAGGGGGCAGCAGTGGAGCGGCAGCTGCTGGTTGTCCTCTGTCAGGTCACACGGCAGAGGATGAACCAATGAATCAAGGAGTGAATGAATGAACTCACGGCGTCGTCCAGTCCTTCGATCTGCAGGGTCACCGTCTTTGCTCTCTTGTTGCTGGAGCCCAGGAAAAACCGAGTTCTGTGGCGGCAGCTGCTGACCATCGCCGCCTGGTGGCTGCCCTGTGCATCCACAGCATGAGTGGATGTCTTCAGGAGCTGGAAGATCTCAGCAGCCAGGAGCCTGGTCTCTCCAGGAGAGCTGGACCTGGAGCAGAGCACACCCCGAGTTTTGACTTACGTCATGACGTCATCACGCGATGACGTCATCGTGTGATGACGTGGTCGCGTGATCTTCAGTGAATTCTGTTCATTTAGATACAACTTGTCATTCAAAAGTCAGAGCGACCCTGCCACCCTGTGGCTCAAACTAGAACTACATTCACAGAACTCAGAACTCTTGTTTTGTTCTGAGAGAACCGATCCCGACTGGGTTCTCCCGGGTTCTCTCTGGACCTTAACCTCATACTCACTGGTCCAACACCTTCTGGAGGCTCACCATCATCCCCAGCTCCTCCTTCAGCTTCTCCCTGTTGGCTCGACATTCGGCCAGGTAACGGATCGCCTGAAACATCCAGCAGGTGTCGTAGCAGAGGTTTGTGTGTAAATATTTGCCATATTGTAGTTAAACGTCTTTACATTTGTCACAGCGCCCCCTACTAGCTGCACCTTCACATATTTAAAACAAGAAAAGCACTATATTACCACACAGTAGGGGGCACTGTTTATACACTACCTGACCAACAGTGAGGAACACCAGTGACGTCAGTGACCCCCCCCATCCCCACCCCCCTCCCTCTACTCCCAGCATCCTCATAGGTGAGTGTTGCCCCACAGACCTGACTGACAGCTACAGAGGTGCATGACCATGACTCACCAGCAGGGCGGCGTAGACCACCTGGGGGTTGCTGTGGTCCAGGAACAGGATGAGTCCCGGCAGACAGCCCTGGTCCTGAACGATGGCTCGGCGGTTCATGGGGTCAGAGGGCAGCTCCCTCAGCTGGGTCTCCACCGACCAGG